ATCTAATTGCAATGAAATTCTTTTGCCGTTCTTATTTCAAACTCCCTCTTATCCATCTGATTCGAATATACTTTCAATCACATTTCTTTCATACCCTCAACACTCAACTGAACAAAGGAAGACAAGAAAAAAAAATTCATTTACAAAGTACAAATTTTATTTTTTCTCATACATTTTCTTTTTCGCGCTTATTTTTTGTTCTCGCCCGGCAGCCCTTTGGCTTGTTCGGGAAGTGATGAGGCTCGACCATCACCACTTCCCTTTGTTGTACAGGCCGCAGGGGCATGGCTGGGCCACTGGGGCGGTGCGGCCGTGGCCCGGCACGTCGTGGACCTGATGTTGACGCTCTCGCCGCTGGGTTTTGATGGTATCCCTGCACCAGCGCACCGCGGGGCCTCGGTGCCGCTTGGGGCAGCAGCGGGCGCGTCAACACCCTCTTCGTAGGATCACAATCTGGTACATGACGGGGAGGTTCGGTGGGGGCCTCCTCCTGGGGGCGCTGCTCGACAGCCTCCGAGAGGTCGAGAGGGCTGTTGGGCGGCGTATCATCAGAGGGAGGAGAGGGGGCACGCATCTCCTCCTGAAGCGGCTCGGCGTCGTCCGCCACCGGATGCGATGTCAAATCGACCGGTTTGACACTTAAATCGACGACATCGTCGTCCTGACTCGTGCCGGCGACGACCGCGTGGCACTCCCACGGTCCCTCCTTCGTCTGGGTGGAGGCATCAACCATTTTCACCTGAACCAACATTTAATTACGCACATTAGTACCAAAAAAACACGGAGGGAAAAAAAAGGGGGGGGGGGGTCGCGAAATCCCACCCCTACACATATTGTCAGCCTCACCATTTTCTGGGCTCGCCGGTGGCAGCTGCTGCAGCTGCTGCTGCTGCTGCTGCTGCTGCTGCTGCTGCTGCTGCTGCTGCTGCTGCTGCTGCTGCTGCGACTACTGCTCCCTCTGCCGCTCCTCCCACTGCTGCTACTGCTGCTCCTGCGGCTCCTGCTCATCCTGCCGCTGCTGCTGCTGCTGCTGCTGCCGCTCCTACCACGCAAATGGGGAGTCGGCAGGACCCCCGCACCCACACCCCTCTCCTCCGTCTCATTCTCATCGGCCTGTGAAAACAGAAAGAAAAAAAGCAAAAGGTGTGAGTAACTTCTACGGCCACACACACACACACACACACACACACACACACACACACACACATCACTCACCCTGCTCCTGCGCTCAGCAGGCCTCTCGCTGGCCCCTGCAGGCGAAGGGCTCCTGGCCCGCTTTCCAGTCTGCAAAAGAACCAGGGAATATTTTTTACAATTCCGTACGCAGGTAAAGTCTGCGCGGCGCGAGGAGAAGCAGCGGCGGGGCATTGCGCTCCGCGTGTACAAGGAGGGGCGCTCCACACGCGCGGACGCCGGGAGGGGACGCCGCACACACTCGCGCGCCGCGCCGCGGCGGAGGGGAAGGCCCGCCACATATGATACGATCGCCCACGGGCGCCCGCGGTGCAGCACTCACATTATGTCTAGAGAGCACAATCACTGAACACTGAACTCACCTGCGGCATGGATTTCATGGTGTCAGAAGGTGAAAGAAAATGCACTGTGAACTTGCGACGATACACTACGACACGACCTCTTCGTCGGCGCGCCTGGCTCAAGACTGACGAAAAGCCACGCCGAGGGCTGAGGCTGGGCTTGCACTGTAAAAAAAATTAGTGATTTTACATAAAAAGCTTGTAAAACTTTACAACACTTTTATGTAAAATTACAAGCACTGGCATTTTTACGACATGTTTTGTTGTAAATTTACAACCAATGTAATTTTACAGAAGTCTTATGGTAAATTTTACAAATTCTTGTAATTTTACAGAAGTCTTATGGTATATTT